ATGCACTGCTCTCTTTAATGTTGACGTGTTCCATTGGGCCACTGCATTCTAGATGGAAACCACCAAGCTAAATGCAGAGTATCTTGGTTTAAAGGAGAGCCATGCAGAAGCCCTGCAGCTGTGGGGCCTGCGGATGTACTCTTGCTGTCTGCCCCACCCTCTTTTGCAGCATGCTACCAGCAAAGTTGGCTCATGGCAAGACAAGCACCAATTTCCAAAATGCCCCTGCCAGACCCATAACCATTCCTGCCCAGAAAAAGACAAGCTTGAAGTTGCCAACTGGGGTAGCACACAGCCACTTTTTTTTTCAGATTACCCAATGCAGACTGGCTAGCTTCATAACCTAGATGAAGACTAAGCAAACTTAAGTGAGTTTGGGGAATGCGCTTGCTGAATTACTATGTACCTGATAAAGTGTGCTAACAAACTCAACTTAGAGGGCTAAGTCGGAGTGGTGAGGAACATGGGCCAATAGAATATCGGTGGTTCGGGGCTGAACTGTACAGTCCTTGGTGCTCTCTGAGCTTGGTGGTTTTCTTGCAGAGGTTTCATTACCCGACTACGTAACATCATCAGAGCACCCAGGATTCCACACTGACCAATCAGCTTCCTGATGAAGTGGTTGCCTTTATGTAGTAGGAGAGAGGAGCCTATGTGGCTTTGCCTACTGTCTGGTGACCAAACGGGAGCTTTTCTCCAAAAATGTTATCTGGGACTGTAGAGGTTAATAGATTCTGGAAATCGCATGCTAGTGATCACTTTCCACTTCTAAGCTACACTGCTTGATCATCCCAAAGGCGTTTTTTTCAAAAGGCAACTGAACTTTCCTTGTTTTTCCATGAAGACTTCCTTCCATATAAGGAACGGCTGCTGGAATTGGGTATATCCAGTTTAATGAAGAGAAGGACGAGGGGGGACATGATAGCAGTGTTCCAATATCTCAGGGGCTGCCATAAAGAAGAGGGAGTCAAGCTATTCTCCAAAGCGCCTGAAGGCAGGACAAGAAGCAACGGATGGAAACTAACCCAAGAGAGAAGCAACCTAGAACTAAGGAGAAACTTCCTGACAGTTAGAACAATTAACCAGTGGAATAACCTGCCTCCAGAAGCGGTGAATGCTCCAACACTGGAAGTTTTTAAGAAGAGACTGGACAGCCATTTGTCCGAAATGGTATAGGGTTTCCTGCCTGAGCAGAGGGTTGGAGTAGATGACCTCCAAGGTCCCTTCCAACTTTATTATTATTATTATTATTATTATTATTATTATTATTATTATTATTATTAATAATAATAATAATAATAATAATAATATTCAGCTTTTTGGATGAGAAGAGAAACGTCTTCAAGGAAAAACAAAGTCCAGTTGCCTTTTGATAAAAGTGCCTTTCGGACAACCAGGACCTGGATGATTGAGAATCTCCAATTATACTACTTGATGCTCACTGAATAACGGCAATCGTGTTTCCAAGCTAACTTCACTACAGGAAGCCCAAACATGCAACAGGGTTGGGTGTCCTCAAAGTGAGAGTGTTGCCTGGAACAGAAATATATTTCAAATGTGCTTTTGATGGCATTGACCGTGGTCCAAAGATCCCCCGTACATCTGAAAGTCACAGCAAGGAATGCCAACGCAAACTGATTGTTGGTTTTATTAAAAGAAAATTGAGGTAAGTGGAACAACTTCAGACCTGACAATTCTCCCAAAGCAGAACCCACTTTAATACTTCCAGCGAGAGGTTTATCCGAGTTTAATCCTGCTAAAGATATAAATGACCGCTGCATCTTTTAGGGAACGAGCACATTCAGGAAAGACCCAGAATGCATCTTTGCCAATTTTTCCTCCCCTCTTCAACCCTGTGTGAAGATGTGTTGATTTTTCTTTTTTTTAACTTTGGTGGACCAGAGTTCAAGGTACAGACTTGAAAAGGCCACCTCTTCACTGTGGTTCTTTTTGCAGCCTCTAAAACAGGGTTTCTCAACCTTGACAATTTTAAGGCATGTGGACTTCAACTCCCAGAATTCCACAGCCAGCAATGCTGGCTGTGGAATTCTAGGAGTTGAAGTCCACATGCCTTAAAATTGTCAAGGTTGAGAAACACTGCTCTAAAAAGAGTTGGCGTGGGATTGAAAGTAGAAGCCACTTTACAGGTTTAAGCTGGGGGTTACAAAGCTCCTTTACACACAACGTACGAATTCGTATGGTTTGCATGAGGGAAAGAAGGGGAAAAAATGGCAAAGATGGACGCGAGAATCTAAACTCAGTTCTTGAAGGACTGTGGGATAAATGTGATTCCCTGGCTGTCTCAAATGCAATCTATTCTCTGGAACCTGGGCCATCCTGGAGTTCAGCTGAATGTCTGTCTATTTTCTTTAACGAAGAAATAATAGGAGGGGGTTTCAAAAATGAAAGGCACTGAACTTGAACCCTGGAGAGAAGATCTGGTGGAAATTCAAGCCCACCACCACTGGCCCATAAGTGAGCCTGTTCTTTTGGAACATTTCTGTTAATATGATGTGTTGACCGATGTTATTTTAGCCCAAAATTTCAGCTCTGCAGAAGAATTTCTATCCCCCCCTCTTCAAACCAGGTAGCTTTTGATGCTTCGGACTGCTGCAAGTCACTACAGCCCTCCCGATGTCCAAGATGCCCTTTCTTACTATTCTGGCCAGGAATCTTTGGACATAATTTTGGGGAACTTCGAGGCTGGACTGCATCACATCTGGAAGCGGGAGACAGCTGGGCTCTCTGAACTAGAGGGAAGGGCTGTTTTATTTCACACACTCGGCACTTTCCAGGTTAAAAAAAAAAGAAATGCACCTGGGAACTAGATTCCTGATCTTGGTTTTTAGGGAAGCTTGGTTGGTTAATACTGCGATATCAGGATCCTCCCAACCCAGGCCCCAAATTAGATTCCCTCCCCTCTTTTTGTATTATGCTTGACAGGGATGGATTTTAGCGCTTTGCAATGTATGAAAAACCAACCGCATTAATTCCAAATTACTGGGTTTTTTTAAGCAGGGAAATTAGGTCCTTGGTTTAGAAAGAAAATTAAAGTATCGGGGGGTTTTATTACTGCCCCTCCCAGCTTGGATCTAAGGCTGGCTCCGAGAGTTTGGGGGTGTGTGTGCTGAAGTCAAGGGCAGCCTCTCCCATCACAGCTACAGGCCCACAGGTGAGGGTCCCACAGGTAAGAATCAGCTGTACAACTCAAGGGGGCCCACGGTTGCTCGCTGCTGCCAGCTTGCCACAGCCAAATCACCGGTTCAACACTGTATATTAACCGTTCCATTCAGTTACTTTTATTGCCGGTGGCATTTTCACTGAAATTATTGTTAACTCTTGCGTTTCTGGGTCGACTTAATTTTATTATTATTATTGGGAACGGTGCCGTTGAAATTAATTTCACTTTTGTATTTGTGGAATTGTCCTGCAGCAAGTTGTCCCGTTGTGAGTTGGCCATGGCGAGTTGTCTCATTAGGAACTTAGGTGTGTGTGTGTGTGTGTGTCCCACAGCTGCCTGCTACAGGCGTGGTATGTCTGCAGGGAGAAAGGAAAACCTCCCCTCCCCCACTTGGGTAACCATGTTTTGAAAACAGGCTCCCAAATCTTGCTAGTGGACCTGGGGCAGACACTTTCTCCAGCCAACAAGGCACAGCCCCCCCAAAAAATTCTTACCCCAGCCCTAAAATCCCATCCCTGCAAGTTTTACTAATTGCTGCTGCTCCTGCAGCTCTGCACATCTGCCCAACCCCACCCCACACACACACACCCCTGCCCACTTAGCCACCTGGACCCTCCCCCACAAAGCCAGTTGCAGCTTCCAGCACTCCCCCCCCCAGCCAGAAGGCTGGGGGAACAGCAGCTCTGAGGCATCCCCAGTTGGTGGTGCTGGGTGCAATTGGCTCTCCTGCTCGTGTTTCTTTCATTGGCTAACTTTATAAACTGAATTAAGGCCCTTTTCATTGGGGAAGAGGCCCAGGTTGAAGTCAAGCTTCCTACCTGGAGCAAAACACGAGGAGCAGATCAGCAGGTGGGTGGGTCAGGTATGTGTGTGTGTGTTTGTGTCAGCAAGCCAAAAGCTTGTTGGCTTAATCTGTGCTATGGGGCCAAGGAGTGGGGCAGAGAGGCACGGGGACCTTAAAATAAGGGAGAGGCACTCCAGGTTGGGTTTGGTCCAGTTTGCCTTGGGGAAACAGGGTGCTAGATAGATTTGTTTAACACCCCCCCCCCCAAAGACTGGTTCTTATGCCCACGGAAAATGTGCTGCCTTTGAAGCACCAACGGGCGTTGTTGTTGCACAGCCTTTCAGAGAGGAAAACGGGGTCTGTCCCTGCCTTGTGACGGAGGGAGGCGCTCTTTCCAGATTAGGGGCGGGGATGAACCACATGAAGCCGGAGGGCCTCCCTTTAGGCACGGAAATGGTGATCTGGCCAGGAGGGTGGGAATTTCTCTCCTGCAGGATTAGCTGATGAACCAATGGGCCCCAGGGAATATTGGGAGAGGGCGAGCAGCCCTTGTTTACCGCAACTGTTGGCAAACTTGGGGGGGGTTCTTGGGTTTGGGGATGTTAAGTAACAGACAAACTGGCTCCCAGTGGACATCGGCCCCTCATCTCCCACACCCACCCACTCGCCCGCCCGCCCGCCCTGTGAATTCCGTGACCTCAGGGTACACCAGTACCGTTCATAATCTGGATAAGTGCTGTACACACAACCATTAGTTACAATATTGGTCCAGTCACTTTTTTTTTTGGTTAAATAAATAGGTACGATTACGGGGCATCCATAAATTACTTTAAGGGGGGGGGAGCCTGCGTCCCCGAGAGTCTTTTGCGACTAGAAGGATGCCCCCAGCGTCTTCCGCTGAAGTCTGGTTTTTAAAAACAAAAATTAGAAAGTCACTTTCTAGCAGCACTCGGCAGGTCCACGTTGTGAGGTTGAGAGCGGAGAGCGGCCTCTTCTTGCCCACCGCGAGCGGGAGGTTGGAGAGGGGGGCTCCTCTTACGTGGAGGTGGGAGAGTCCATGGTGGAGAGGATGCGCACGATCTCGGCCCGCTGGGTGGGCGATATGTGCTGGGTCATGTGGACGATGGAATCCATGGCTATCTCTGGGTTAGCCTGGACCAAGCTAGGAAAAGGAAAAAGAGAAATAATGACCTCAGAAGGGGTAGACCGTTCCGTTTGGGGAGCCTGGCTCTGTACAGGTGGTCCTCGACTTACAACGACAATCGGGACCAGACTTTCCATTGCTAAGCAAGGCGGTTGCTAAATGAGCCGCACCCAATTTTACAACCTTTTGGCCATGATGGTTAAGCAAATCACTGCAGTTAAGAGAATCACATGGTGGTTAAGTGACTCTGGCTTGTCCAATTGACTTTGACTGCCAGAATCTAGCTGGGAAGGAAGGTTGCAAATGGTGATTCCCGTGGGATGCCACAACTGTCACAAAGACATGCCAGTTTCCAAGCGCCTGCCTTTTGATCACATGACCGTGGGGCTATTGCAACAGTCATGAATGTGGGGACCAGTTCTATGTCACTCTTTTCAATGCCGTTGTAACTGAGAACAATCACTCAACGAATGGCTGTAACTTGAGGACTTCCTGTAGGTCTAGCACAGTTCATAGCAAAGCAAGGTGGAGGCCCCAGCGATTAGGTTCAAAAGTTTCCGAAGGTGTATGCTGGAAGTAGAGATACACAAGAGAAACCATACCAGTTCTCTTTCATATTTATTATTCAAAATTCATCAACTCTGCAGGTTTCTTGTGGCCAGCAAGTCCAAAATACAGGTAGTCCTCCACTTAGGACCCCAATTGAGCCCAACATTTGCGTTGCTAAGGGAGACAGTTAAGTGACTTTTGCCCGACTTTTAAGACTTTTCTTGCCACGGTTGCTAAGTGAGAATCTGGCTTCCTCCATCGACTTCGCTTGTCATAAGGTCGCCAAAGGGGATTGCACGATCCCGGGGGATGCTGTGGCCGTCATAAATATAATGGAAGAGGAAGCACCTGAGCGTTGCTTTCTTACCTTCGTATCTGTTTGAGTATGTAGTCCCTGGAAATGTATTTGATGTTCTCGTCAACCACTGAGCGGACCCCTTCTTCCTCCACCAGCTGTTTCTCCAGCCACTCCACCAGGTCCTTGTTGTTGTCCCACAAGTAGGCCTGCCCAAAAAAAAAACAACTAGAGCTGTTGACCGGCTTAAGGAAGGCCTGAATTAGGGAGCAGAGGACTCAATGTGCTTGCAAAGAATTCAACCTCAGCTCCCAAAGAGGCCTGGATGGAGTCTGGAGGACCTGTGGTCTTGACAAAGCTGAACTTCATAAAAAAAAACACCCCTCTTATGTCTTCAGACAAGACTCCGCTCCATTTTTGCTGGGTATTATGGAAAATTTGGATAAAAAAGAAATGGAATTGATGTTGAATTTGATAACTGCTGCGAGGTTATTAATAGCTCAATGTTGGAAAACGGATCGTTTGCCTACTATAGAGGATTGGGCATTTAAAGTTTCAAATTTAGCAGAAATGGCTAAGATTTCAGCCTATGTGAAGGATTACTCACAAGAAAGATATATACTGGTTTGGAGAAGATGGATAGATTATATAGAAAAGAAATATGG